GCTGGACCCTTCACGTCCATGTGGAGGGTCTGCACAAGAGCTGTGGTCGAAGGAAACGAGGAGCTGTGAGGAGCGGCGCGCTGCCGCCCATCGACGCAGGGAAGGCACGGCGGCGCAAGCGACCTCGGGAGCGGAGGCGGGGACCTGGGGAGTGCATGCCACGCAGGCGTGGCAAGGAGGGGTGACTAAGAGGGTGGTGCCAGAGGAGAGTCTGGTGCGTGAGGAGACGATCCGAACAAGACGCAGCTACCTCAACCGACGCAGCTACCTGACCTGACTCAGCCGCCTGTGCAGACTCAGTGGTCAGTGTGTACAGATCAGACTAGTGAACGTGGCGAGGTGCTCCTCCAAGTGAACGTGGCGAGGTGCTCGCTAGTGCGTGAGTCTGTACAGATCGCCATGAGCTCTCCCCCAGGCTGGGCAACAGTGACAAACTGGTCCTATAGGACAGTAGTAGCCACCAAGTTCATAGCGAACAAGGGGAGGTGGAAACCTGTGAGGGAACCGGAGGGGGCTGTGGGACACGGGAGAACAGTAGAGCTACGTGCAACAACTGGGCCACCAGATGGGTCGGCTAGAGTGACAAGGACAGGGGCTGTGCGCGGTGTGATTATGATGCAGTCGCGGAAGAAGCAGCGAGACGCGCTTGAGCCGAGTAGGAAAGTGTGCAAGGGCTCCTCAGACTCTGTACCTGTGCTAGCTGAGTCACAATCACCTAGACTAGCAGCCTCTATACCACCAGGTGCCTCTCCACCCCTAGCCCTAGTACCCCAAGCTCCGCCACCAGGGCTGCTCCACCGGACAGCGCACTCACGAAGCTGGTGCAGCGATAGAATCTCCGGCGGACGCTGCTGCCACTGCTGTCCACCCCCAAAACCTCCGCGTACACCAACGACACTACCCGTAGGGATAGAATCACAGGTACCTCGAGTAGTAGCACCACTGGCTCCGCCGGACAGCCCACTCGCGAAGCTGCTGCGACGAAAGCGTCTCCTGCCGACGAGTACCAGCAACGCGAGCACCAGCACCTCTAGCTCTAGCACGGTTAGCTCCGCCACCAGGGCTGCACCACCAGATAGCCCACTCGCGAAGCTGCTGCAGCGAGAGAGGCTCCTGCACACTCGACTGCCGCTGACGTAGGACAGTGGTAGTGGTCATGGCAGGCAGTGGCAGTATTAGTAGGAGTGGTGGTGCCAGTAGGACGAGAGCGAGCTAAGGGTGCTCGACGGGCTATTGGAGGGGCGCACTTTAGGGATGCGCCATGGGTAGAAAAAACGGGCAGCAGTAGACGGGCGCCACGGGCAGAAAACGGCCACGTACTAAGCTGCAGGGCGCACTGGCTGCACAGCGCGTGGGGGGCAGGGCAGCGCACGGGCTGAAGGGCAGGGCGGCGCGCGGGCTGCATGGCAGGGCGGCGCGCGGGCTGCAGGGCAGGGCGGCGCGTGGGCTGCAGGGCAGGGCGGCGCACGGGCTGCGGCGCGCGGGCTGCAGAGCAGGGCGGCGCGCGGGCTGCAGGGCAGGGCGGCGCGCGGGCCGCAGGGAAGGGAGGCGCGTGGGCTGCAGGGCAGGGCGACGCGCGGGCTGGAGGGCAGGACGGCGTGCGGGCTGCAGGGCAGGGCGGCGCGCGAGCTGCAGGGCACAGCGCAGGGCAGAGCAGAGCGCATGAGGTAGCGCGTGCAGGGCAGCGTGAGGGACGCTGTTCGGGCAGGGCAGGTTACGACCGGGCAAGGCAGTTCGGGCGGTGCGAAAGATTAACGGTGGGCCCTATCGGAGCGGTCCTACGAAGAGACATGCTCTGAATACCATGTCCGAAATAACGGGCAAGAATGAGTGACTAGAAAGGATGGATGAGTACAAGTAGGGCAAGGTCTAACCCTAAAGTGTGTACTCTGTAGAGGCTACCCCATTGCAGCCTACAACACAGAAACATAGTTTGACATGGATTTGGGCAGTGGGGCAGGTCAGTGCGTCGGCGATGTTGGATGCCCCCTTTTTGTAGGTGATTGTGTAGTGGAAGTTTGACTCGAGAAAGTTGAGCCAACGGACCTGTCGTGGGTTGAGGTGGGGCTGTACGCGGAGGTACTGTAGTAATTTGTTGTCTGTCCATACTGTCACACCTGCACCAATCAAGTAACAGCGCCAAACTTTGAACACATGCACCATCGCGAGCATTTCACGGTCGTGTATCGGGTAATGTTTTTCGGGCGGATGCAGTGATCAGGGTTAGTAAAAAAGAGAGGCCAAAAAAGGGTGACAATGGTATTTTTCCCTGTTATTGTGAAGATAAGCAGTAGAAGAAGGCGCCATAGCTAGGAAAGCCCTAGCTAGGCAAGAAACAGTTTAGGCAAAGAGGGGGTTCACTAGCAGGAATGAGGATACAAATAGCAAACCCTAGAAGGGTTGTACTCGCTATAGAGCACCCCACTACAGGCTAGAGCATAACATTCTGACACACCCCCATAGCCAAAGTGGGGTGTAATCAGCAGAGCAAGCAAAGCAGAACAAGCTCAGGGTGGATCACAATGTCACCACACATTCTGAGCACAAGTACAAGAAGCAATAGTTTAAAGTTCACAATTATGAGCAAAGCTAGAGGCTATCGCAGAGGGCAAGTGAGGAGGAGGAGGCGAGACTGTAAGAGGAGAGGAGATAGGAGGCGACGACTGAAGCTGCAGACACACGGGCAACAGGAGGCACACTGGCACAGCGGCTACCGGAACAGCGCTCCGGACTACTGGAGTAACTGGCCCCGCGGCTAAAAGTAGCGGCAGACGAGCAACGGACCCACGGGCGACTGGCACAGGTGGCTGCGACTGGGCTACCGGAGCAACTCCCCGGACTACAGGTGCTGCTGGCGACACGACGGCAACCTTCGTTCAACCTCCCCAAACAGTCCCACCCCCCCTGACACACACCCCCTGCTTCACCCCTAGCTCCACTCCCCCTTCACCCCCCTTAGTACCACTCCGACGGCTCCAACAGGTCCACCCCCCTCAGCGGCAGCTGCAGCACTGGGAGACAGAGGAGGAGGAGGAGCAGGGGACGGCACACAGAAGCTGCACCCCCATGCCCCCCACCCCCAAACCCTAATTCAGGAGAACGGGCAGTAGCAGGGGTGGGGCGCCATCAGAAGCACGGGGGACAGCGGGCAGCGCAGGGGCAGCGAAGAACGGGCCGCCCACGGGCCTGGCACAGCCGCCCGAACCGCGCGCAGGCGGCCCGAGCCGCGCGCGGGCCTGGCGCAGCCCGTACGGGCCGCGCGCGGGCCTGGCGCAGCCCGTACTGGCCGCGCGCGGGCCTGGCGCAGCCCGTACGGGCCGCGCGCAGGCTGTACGGGCCGCGCACAGGCCACGACGGGTGACGGGGGGCGACGCGCGGGTCCCCGTCGCCCGTCGCAGCGCCTCCCGGGAGCGACGCGCTGCGTGACGGGGCAGAAACCCGCCGCGCGCCTCGGGGCGCACGGCGGGCAGAGAACCACCGCGCGCCTCGGGGCGCACGGCGGGCAGAAAACCGCCGCACGCTCCGAGCGCGTGGCGGGATGAAAAATCCGTTGCACGCCACGGGGCGTGCAACACAGAGAGTAGCAGTAGCAGCGGAAGCAGTGAGGTGGGGCCCACAGGCCAGGAGCATATGGCTCTGATACCATGTGAAGATAAGCAGTAGAAGAAGGCGCCATAGCTAGGAAAGCCCTAGCTAGGCAAGAAACAGTTTAGGCAAAGAGGGGGTTCACTAGCAGGAATGAGGATACAAATAGCAAACCCTAGAAGGGTTGTACTCGCTATAGAGCACCCCACTACAGGCTAGAGCATAACATTCTGACAGTTATTTTGGGCCCTACTAGAGTAGCATCGTTCTTGTATGTCCTTTTTCATTCGTTATTGTAGACGGATGTGAACGAGGCTGGTTGGACCTGTCCTTATGTGACACCGGAAAAGGCGGCAGTTGCAATAATTCTCATGGCGAGAAGCACCGGAAAAGGCGGCAGTGAACGAAGCTGTAATCATCGTGGCAGAGAAGCATCCGATGGCGCGCGCTACATCCACATTCCGAAACGCCACGTGGCGTTCCTGCGCTCGCAAAGGAAACGAGACGCTCTCGTTGGTTGTGATGGACGGCTCTATTGGGATGTGATATGCCTAGGCAGATTGCTGCGATTTGGTTGGGCGATGGCATCGTCTGTAATTCCCCAGCTCGCTTCGAGAACAGAATTATTGCCGCGGCGCGCACCTGTGCCTCCAAGTCACCGCGTGACGCGGCGCCTGTGTTTCTGAGACACCGCGTGGCGCGGCGCCAGTGTTTCCGAGTCACCGCGTGTGGCGATTCCTCTGATGCCGAGCTCGCTCTGCGTACCTGTGCCTCCGAGTCACCATGTGGCGCGGCGCTGGTGGCGGGCGGGCCTCCCGAGAGCTGCACCCGCCACCAGTCATCGTAGCCAAACGTCTGTTAGAGGGCCCTACGACAGCAAGGGCCCTCGACGACCGTTTACTTGGCAGGTCGGCGCTCAACGACCTAGTCTACTCGGCAGTTCGGTGGCGGTCACATGCGACTACGGGTGACTACGAGCTGCAGTGACGAATTCGCCGAAGTCGGTGCTGGGAAAGAGGAGTCGTGGGAGTCTTGAAGTGCTTCCTTGTGAGGCACGCCACTCCCAAGCTGAGTTGGGTGGAGTGGCGTGCACGGAAGTACCTTCGCTGCTGAGTTGGATAGGGAATTCGGCGGGGCGCATTCGCCCACCTGCACAACACCTTCGTGGGGTTGGGTTACACCGGAGCGCCACGCAACATTTGTGCAACTCTCGCTTGCCTATATCTATTGTGTGTTTGCTTGTATGAACTTCATAGTGTTATTACAATTGCTACTTGGATTCTTCCTTAGTCATTTGGAGACGAACGCTACTGAAACGCTACCGAGTTGCTAGCACAACACCGTTCTCATAGTAGAAACTCTCTCGCTATCGCTACGCTCTCCCCCCCGGCGTATCCAGTAATGGCCGTGTCGAGATGCGCGCGCCGCGTTTCAAGTATATGATATCTGGTAGTAGTAGACCTACCGAGAGTCATCGATTTTTGAGACAAGCTATCGAATCTTGAGACAAGCTCACCTCGTCGCGGAGTTGTTTCACCTCGTGATATCACGCTTCTAGCACCGTCACGACGCCACGCCACGCCTCCTCGGCGCTACTACTACTAGTACCTTCGCTCGCCGCGAGCACCCGCGACGCGAGGATGAAGACTGACGTTTCCAGGGCGGCCGCAGCCGCCGCGCTGCTCTTGTCGCGCTTCTCATCGGTACGCCTCCGCTCCCTCCCTCCCTCCCTGCCTGCCTCGCTGCCTGCCTGCCTGCCTGTGGTGAGCGCCGCGCACGAGAAGGCGAGCGCCGCGCGCGAGGTGGCGGGCGCCGCGAGCGAGGTGGCGAGCGCGGACCTCCGCGTGGGCACAGCCGCGCTCTTGAGAGTCCGACTCAACTATTCTCCCATCCCCATCATGTCACGTCCCCCCAGCGAGTAACGGAATCGGAGCGTCGCTGGGAGCACCTGCCTCCGCCGGCAAGGAGGTGGTCCGCGCGGAGAGCGCCGCGAGCGAGGCCGTGAGCGCGAGCGAGGCGGTGAGTGCCGCGAGCGAGTTGGTGAAAGCGGACCTGTTCGTGGGCACAGGCGTGCTCGTCGGCTCGCTCGTTCAGCCCGACCTCATCACCTTCAATCAGGGTATCTGCAGCAGCGTAACCATGCCCGGAACCGGGGAGGGGGGAGGCGGCGGCGGCGGCGGCGGCGTGGACGCGCTTGCGTTGTGGTACTCGCCTACAGATCCTGCAAACCGCCCTTCGTGCAACGCGCTGCATCTGTTCACGACGGAATCCTGCGAGGGCAAAGCGGCGGGGAAACTCTTCAACGATGGTCGCGGCATGATGAGGTGAGCTGAGCATTCATCTGTCCGTTCGTTACTGTCGATGAGCTGTCGCAGGGTGCATGAGGTGAGCTGAGTTGTCGTAGGGTGCATGAGGTGAGCTGAGTTGTCGAAGGGTGCATGAGGTGAGCTGAGTTGTCGCAGGGTGCATGAGGTGAGCTGAGTTGTCGCAGGGTGCATGAGGTGAGCTGAGTTGTCGCAGGGTGCATGAGGTGAGCTGAGTTGTCGCAGGGTGCATGAGGTGAGCTGAGTTGTCGAAGGGTGCATGAGGTGAGCTGAGTTGTCGCAGGGTGCATGAGGTGAGCTGAGTTGTCGCAGGGTGCATGAGGTGAGCTGAGTTGTCGCAGGGTGCATGAGCTGAGTTGTCGCAGGGTGCATGAGGTGAGCTGAGTTGTCGCAGGGTGCATGAGGTGAGCTGAGTTGTCGCAGGGTGCATGAGGTGAGCTGAGTTGTCGCAGGGTGCATGAGGTGAGCTGAGTTGTCGCAGGGTGCATGAGGTGAGCTGAGTTGTCGCAGGGTGCATGAGGTGAGCTGAGTTGTCGCAGGGTGCATGAGGTGAGCTGAGTTGTCGCAGGGTGCATGAGGTGAGCTGAGTTGTCGCAGGGTGCATGAGGTGAGCTGAGTTGTCGCAGGGTGCATGAGGTGAGCTGAGTTGTCGCAGGGTGCATGAGGTGAGCTGAGTTGTCGCAGGGTGCATGAGGTGAGCTGAGTTGTCACAGGGTGCATGAGGTGAGCTGAGTTGTCGCAGGGTGCATGAGGTGAGCTGAGTTGTCGCAGGGTGCATGAGGTGAGCTGAGCTCTCGCTAGCATTTGTCTGTTTGTTACTGTCGGTGAGCTCTTGCAGGATTCACCCATGCGGCCCCGTCCCCCCTCATGTTACTACTGAGCAGCAAATCTCCCAATCCCCCACATGCCCTAGTTCTCCTCCCTTCCCCCCCTTTCCCCAACCCATGCGCCCATCCCCATGCCCTAATCCCTACCCCGTGCGCCCCCCCCCCCCCCCCCCCCCCCCCCCCCCCCCCGTGCGTGTGTGAGCAGGCACTTTAAGATGCTCTCGTCTGTGAAGTCCGTCCGCTGCGTTATCTGTGCGTGCCCTGCTGCTGCCACCATGCAATGGCTTTTCTGCTTCTATTTCCATCTATTGCCCTGCTGCTGCCATGCATGCGCTTTCTGCTGCAATTGAAGCACTTTTCCATGCCTCTCCCCCCATGCCTCTCCCCCCATGCCTCTCCCCCCATGCCTCTCCCCCCATGCCTCTCCCCCCATGCCTCTCCCCCCATGCCTCTCCCCCCATGCCTCTCCCCCCATGCCTCTCCCCCCATGCCTCTTCCCCCATGCCTCTCCCCCCATGCCTCTCCCCCCCATGCCCCGCCCCCGATGCCCCGCCCCCCATGCCTCTCCCCTCATGAATCCCCCCCCATGCATCTCCCCTGTGCCTCCCCCCATGCATCTCCCCTGTGCCTCCCCCTGTTCTTCTCCCCCCATGCCTGCACCATGCCTTTCCCCCATGCCTCTTCCCCCATGCCTCTTCCCCCCCCGCATCCACCCCTGTGCATATCCCCCCTTGCCTCTCCCCCCGTTCCTCTCCCCATCCATCCCTCTTGCCTCATCCCTTTTTCCCCCCCATCCCTCTCCCCCCATCCCTCTCCCCCCATCCCTCTCCCCCCATGCCTCTCCCCCCATCCTCCCATGTGAACCAGACAACATCTGCCAGCGGGCCACGTGCCAGGCACACTCCAAGTGCATCAAGACAAATGATAGATATGGGGCGGCCTGCCAGTGCGCCCAGGGCTACCGTGCCGCCTACAACATTTGCCAGCCCGAGTAGCCTCCCCTCCCACCTGTAAGTCAATCATGAGGGGCACGGTAGCCCTGGGGGCACGTCTCATCTCAAATATCAACACCAAGGAGGTGGCCTGCCTGCCAGTGCGCCCAGGGTACCGTGCCATCTACAGCAGTTGCCAGCTTCAGTAGCCTCCCCTCCCACCTGTAAGCCTCCCGAGTAGCCTTCCCTCTGACCTGTAATCCTCCCCAATAGCCTTCACTCTCTCCTTTATGGGGTGGCCTGCCAGTGTGCCCAGGGCATCCGTGTCGTCTACAGTAGTTGCCAGCCCCAGTAGCCTCCGCTCCCACCTGTAAGCCCCCCAATAGCCATCCCTCCCGCCTCCGAATTGACTTCAGCCAATGCCTCCCATCCCAATAGCCATCCCTCTTCTCCACTCTGTATCTCCCTCACCCTCTCTCCTCCCCGTCTCGCCCTCTCTTCCCCTCTCGTCCCTGATTGCCTTCGTCTTTCCCCCTCTGCCTTTCCACGTCCCTTCCTCCCTCCTGTCCTGTCCTCCCCCACGCTCTCCCATTCCTTTCCGCCATGTTCCCTGTCTCCTAGTCATCAGTTCTCGCCTTATCTACTGCAGAGCCTCTCCACTGCCACTGCTATGTTAACAACCCTTATAAAGCCTCGCTTTCCTCCCCTCCTCCTCTCGACCCTCTCATGTCTCCCCTCTCCCTCCTGTCACCTCTGCCACTATCCATCGGTGTGACTCTTGTCTATCTTGTTGTCTGCTGTAGAGCCCTTTCCCGAGCCGCTGCTGTGCTGAGAGGTCATGCAGACACCAGCCCCTGAAGAAAAGAGCCTCTACAGATGCCCTAGAGAGCCGCTGGAGCTGAGAACCTGATTGAAATATTTTTTGTAATAAAAAGAGGGAGTAAATATTCTCTGCAAATGCCCTAGAGAGCCCCTGGAGACGAATGGGAGAGTGCCTGGAGTAGCACCTCTGATGGGAGTTAGCATTCGGAAATCCAGTGCTGTAGTTATTGGAAGCAATTTTGTAGCAAGAGTGACTAGGGTGGGATATCAGCATTGGTGCATCATAGGATGTTTACCAGTAAGCCCCGAAATAATGAGTTATCGTTTTGTATACCCGGATTTTCTGTCCCGGTTGCTGCATCGTACAATATTAATAATGAAAATACTTAAATAGAAATAGAGTTCGTGCTATTCTATCCACATCGTGAGTTTCTCTAAAAGTAGCTACAGCTAGACAAGAGCAGGCAGACGGGGAGGCAGCAGCATTATTGGTAATCCACATAGCCATGTCGAGCGCGCCATAAGCGCGCCCTATACACCCTTCTCACCTATCTCACCGGCGGAAGCACTGGCTACAGTGCGTACGTGTGCTTGGACCCTAGCGCTCTGGTGCTTGCAACCGAACCCCAAATAGGTGGCGGGCAAATTTACTCCAGAGGAACGATACACAAAGGTTTCTGGAACAAAACGTGCATTTGCGCACGGTTAAGTGCGGTAAATGTGCTTATATGGTATGTTATGGGACCATTCTGGACGCATTGATGTCAGTACAGCCGGTGCGTCAGTATGGCCAATGACAGTGTAGCGAGAAACAGGGTGTACGGCACACACGACGCCAGGCCAACACAGCTATGTTGCACCTGGAAGGCAGAATGCAGGCAGCCCTTTTGGAGCGCAGAGCGGAGTGGCGACAATTATGGGAGCCGTGTTTGCAGGTAAGCTTTCGGGCGTTGCGAAAATCATGGACGCGGGTTCGAAACCCTCATGGCCAAGCGACAATTCTCTCGAGAGCTCGTGCTTATATGGGCGTGCGGCGTAGTTACATGCCTATAATAATGTGCGAGCGCCGAGCGGCCGCATAATCATGGCCCATAACAATTATTGCCCGCGTCACAAAATTCCTGGCCCCTAAAATATGCCCACAACTGTAGCATTCTTTCAGGTATCCTACGTGAGCTATGTTCGAACACCATCCAATCATGCTGGGAACTATGCTTCGAAGGTTGGGTTACGAGAGAGACAGGGGAGAACCCAATGATCCTGAAGGACGGCGTTGCTCACCAAGTTCGTAGAGAACGAGGGGAGGTGAAGACCAGACAGCTCACCAGACGGGACTGCCGGACACGGAAGCACAGTGGAAGACCGTGCAAGCACTGGGCCCCCAGAGGGGTCAGCCAGTGAGACAGGGACAGGTGCAGGGAGGGGAGTGACTGTGGTGCTGTCGCGAAAGAAACAGCGGGAAGCACCAGAGTCAAGTGTAAAGGTGTGCAAGGCCTGTGCGGACGCAGTACCAGGGGGAGCAGACTCACAAGCACCTAGAGCTGCAGGCGCTATACCTGGGGCTATACCGGGGTCAGGCGGCACACACAAGTAGCAGTCACCCTCAGCACTAACAGTCAATGCATACATGGCAGCAAGAATAGCATCATAGTCCAGATCAAAAACAGGTACATCACGCCTAAGCAGGTCCGCCCAGTTGGGGAACTCTGTAGCATCAGGAAACTTGACGCGCCAGGCGTCGCTAAGCCGAGCGAAGCAGCGGTACTCAGTGTGAAAGCATGTGCACTGGCGACCAGCGCGGGGACCTGCGCGAATGATATAGGGGCAGCGACCAGGACCCCCAGACGCCCCACGCCCGGCATACCAGTCATGAAGCTGCTGGGAAGTGGGGGTCTGGCGCTGACGCTGCTGCTGCTGCTGCTGCTGCTGCTGCTGCTGCTGCTGCCCCTGGCCACCACTGGTCTCACCCAAGCCCCCACCACCGCCGCCACCACCACTCCCCCCTCCGCCACCACCGCCGCCGCCACCGCCACTGCTCCCGGCACCACCACCGCCCCCACCACCACCTCCACCCCCACGACCACCCCCACCACCTCCACCTCCCCCGCCGCCTCCACCACCGCCCCCTCCACCGCCACGTCCGCCACCCCTGCCACCCCTGCCTCCCCTGGAGCCGCTGCGCTTCCCACTAGGAGCGGAAGCAGCTGCGACCTTCTCAGCACCAAGGAGGTCGACAGCAGCAGCTGCGGAGGCATAGGAGGGGGTAAGAGGGGAGGGGGAGCACCCCTCAAAGAGGGGAGTGCGAGGAGTACCACGAGCAGCACCTACAGCGAGGATGTTCTTCTCTGCTGCTAGGAGGTGCTTCTCGAAGTCGGCGACAGTGAGAGTGGTAGGGTCTAGGGCTAGGAAGTGGTCCCTGACGGAGCTAAGAGTGTCAGGGAGGCGGGTGACGAGGAAATAGAGAGTGAAGTACATCGGGGGGGGGGGGGGGGGGGGGGTTCGCGGCGCAGAACTCGGCTGGAAGGGCGGCACGAAAGCGAGTGTCACTAGTGCGAAGGTGAGAAATGAGGTCCTCAGCAGTGGTAAACGAGGACAGCTCGGGGAACAGGTAGGGTAGCATGAGCCGACCTAGGGCTGCAGTGGCCGGGGAGGAGTAGCGCGCAACTACGGCGTCATACAGTGCCTTAGCAGTTTTGTGCTGGCTGAAATGCGCACGCTCAGTGATCGGCAGATGATTTCGAATAGCTAGGCGTACAGCAGCATCGCAAGTCTGCCACTGTGAGCGTTCGAGAGCAGTAGCATCGTCAGCAGGAGCAGCGGCAGTGCCAGACACGTAATCGAACAATGAAACGCCGTCTTTGGCATCAGTAAGAAGAAACAGTTGGAGATCGTCCAGCCACGTGGCGAACTCTATCGGGCGACCGCCAGGCTCAAACGCGAGAACATTAAGTGTCGCCATAATCGCAGTGCAGGTAAAGGCAGTAGGCAAAGGCAGTAGGCAGCAGGCAGCAAGCAAAGGCAAAGGCAGCAGGCAGCAGGTAGTAGGCAGCAGGCAAAGGCAGCACAGGCAGCGCGAGGGGCAGCAGCAGGCCGCGCGCAGGCTGCAGAGGCGCGGCACGAGCGGTAGCCGCGGCGCGCGGGGCTGCAGTGGGCGACGCGAGCTGCGGGCGCGGCGCGCGAGGCTGTAGGGGGCTGCGCGAGGACGGCAGCCGCGGCGCGCGGGGCTGTTGTGCGACGTGCGGGCAGCGGACGCGACGCGCGGGCAGCGGACGTGATGCGCGGGGCTGCAGCAGGCAGCGCGGGCTGCGGACGCGGCGCGCGGAGCAGCAGCGAGCCGCGCGCGGGCTGCCGAGGCGCGACTCCAGCAGCTAGGGCGACGCGCGGGGCAAAAAATGGGCTGTGCGCGCTAAGAAGCAGCAGGCAGCAGGTAGCTCAGACAGCAGACAGCAGGCAGACAGTGCGCACAGCGCAGCACGTCCTAGGCACAGTCACAGTCACAGTCGTGGGGTAGCGCTAGGTGGGCCCGAAAAAAAGGACGGTCCTACGGACCTACTGCTTTGAATACCATGTCAGAAGTCTAAGCAGGAATGAATGAACTAGCAAAGTGTTGGGTACAAGTATGAAACCCTAAAAAGGGGCTGTACCCCATATTGGCTACCCCACTACAGCCTAAACATATGTGTCATACATATAATTTGACAGCTGCAGCAGGAAAGTAAAAGCGTGTAGGGGTTTAAAGTCAGACCCGCTTCAGTCTAAAGTTTATTCGCTATGCAATTGTTGATATTTTTTCGTACATTTGCACCAGCAACTAGGCCCGGCAGTTTGCGTATCGAAGCCAAACCCGTGTGCCAAACCTTGTACATTATTGTCACACCGACAAAACTGGCATTCCTTCAGTCCAGCGTGTTGCGACTGCGGAGAGTGACTCTACAACGGTAGTGAGCTAGACTACGGGGTTGGCTCGAACTACCAAGCGGGATCGTAGCTATTCTTAGTTCTTTAGAGCTTGCACATTCACGGGAGAAATCGGCAAGAGTTTCCACTAGCAAAGTCGATAATTACAGAATCATTGAACAAGCAATGACAACAATGACTATATCAGGCACCTAGCAACTCTGCAGCTAGCCTGGTCGACCGCCAGCGCAGCTTGGTCGACCGCCTGCCAGCGTTGCGTAGAGGAGCCGCGCCAGCACTGCAGAAGAGCGACCTGCCAACACTGCAGGTCGACGGCGTGCCAACGCTGCAGCAAAGTGGCTGTCCAGCGTTGCCCCGTAGAAGACAGCAGTGCGCACGTTCGCAGGTGCGCGCAGACGATAGGCCCGACTTGCATTGCTGTGCATCCGTCGGCTGTTGTCTGCGCCTGACGAGCCACATCGACTTTGGGATACCAACCCGAAGTCACATTCGCCACCGCGACCTCGATGACGTTCGCGTGCCTCCACAGAACTCGTCGAGCAGGTTACCCGGTCAACCTGGACACCACCAGGTGCTCTGGTCGACCCACCACCGGGTCCCTCTGGTCGACCACTAGGTCCCTCAGGTCGACCACCAGGTGCCCCTGGTCGACCACAGCTCCCGTCGAGCTACCCCCTGGTCGACGGACCTCTTCCGTCGACCAGGACTGTTACGGGTTGTCGCCGAGCTCCCCTCGTCGAACGCTGCTCACTTGTCAGGTCGACGGACTGCTCCGTCGACCTCTCGGTCGAACTGCAGGTCCTGGTTAACGGCCCACCCATCGCCCAGACTAGTCAGTTGCAGCTGTCGAGCTCCCTGGTCGACAACAACACCACAGCGGTCCCCTGCAGCCCGACGAAGCCTGTCGAGCAGCTCTCCCACTGTGAACGGTCAGCTGCTTCTCCCGTACATCCGACCAAGTCGTCGGCGCTGCCCAAGCGAGGGCGGGGCCAACACTCCACTCCCGTTAACACTCCCCTCCCGCGCTCACGCTTG